TCCTGGAGAGACGACGCCTCGCGCTGCTTCGTGTGTGTTAGTTTCATGTCCTTACCCCGCACCTCCGATGAGCACGGTTGGCTACGTGCGGTGCGAAAGAAGTTCAACGTAGTACGTATGGACTCTATGGTGAACTGCTTTCGCTGCTGCTGCCGCCTCCTGGGGCACAGCACGATCCTGAGTCAACGAGGACCGGTGGCAGCCGTGGTGGTGGTGGTAGTAGTGGTGTTGGTAGTGGTGGTGGTGGCAGCCGTGGTGGTGGTAGTGGTGGTGGTGGTAGTGGTGGTGGTGGTAGTGGTGGTGGTAGTGGTGGCGATGATTGTGATAGTGGCGGTGATGGTGGTTGGGAGTGGTGGTGGTGGTAGTGGTGGTGGTGGCAGCCGTGGTGGTGGTGGTAGTGGTGGTGGTAGTGGTGGTGGCGATGATGGTGGTTGGGAGTGGTGGTAGTAGTGGCGATGATTGTGGTGGTGGCGATGATTGTGGTGGTGGCGATGATTGTGGTGGTGGCGATGATTGTGGTGGTGGCGATGATGGTGGTTGGGAGTGGTGGTGGTAGTGGCGATGATGGTGGTTGGGAGTGGTGGTGGTAGTGGTGGTGGCGATGATTGTGGTAGTGGCGATGATGGTGGTTGGGGGTGGTGGTGGCGATGACTGTGATGGTGGCGATGATGGTGGTTGGGAGTGGTGGTGGCGATGATTGTGGTAGTGGCGATGATGGTGGTTGGGAGTGGTGGTGGTGGCGATGATTGTGGTAGTGATGATGATGGTGTTTGGGAGTGGTGGTGGTGGTGGCGATGATTGTGGTAGTGGCGATGATGGTGGTTGGGAGTGGTGGTGGTGGTGGTGGTGGTGGCGATGATTGTGGTGGTGGCGATGATGGTGGTTGGGAGTGGTGGTGGTAGTGGTGGTGGCGATGATTGTGGTGGTGGCGATGATGGTGGTTGGGAGTGGTGGTGGTAGTGGCGATGATGGTGGTTGGGAGTGGTGGTGGTAGTGGTGGTGGCGATGATTGTGGTAGTGGCGATGATGGTGGTTGGGGGTGGTGGTGGCGATGACTGTGATGGTGGCGATGATGGTGGTTGGGAGTGGTGGTGGTGGTGGTGGTGGCGATGATTGTGGTAGTGGCGATGATGGTGGTTGGGAGTGGTGGTGGTGTCGATGATTGTGGTAGTGATGATGATGATGGTGTTTGGGAGTGGTGGTGGTGGCGATGATTGTGGTAGTGGCGATGATGGTGGTTGGGAGTGGTGGTGGTGGTGGCGATGATTGTGGTGGTGGCGATGATGGTGGTTGGGAGTGGTGGTGGTGGCGATGATTGTGGTGGTGGCGATGATGGTGGTTGGGAGTGGTGGTGGTGGTGGCGATGATTGTGGTGGTGGCGATGATGGTGGTTGGGAGTGGTGGTGGTGGTGGCGATGATTGTGGTGGTGGCGATGATGGTGGTTGGGAGTGGTGGTGGTGGTGGCGATGATTGTGGTGGTGGCGATGATGGTGGTTGGGAGTGGTGGTGGTAGTGGCGATGATTGTGGTAGTGGCGATGATGGTGGTTGGGAATGGTGGTGATGATTGTGGTAGTGGCGATGATGGTGGTTGGGAGTGGTGGTAGTGGTGGTGGCGATGATGGTGGTTGGGAGTGGTGGTGCAGTGGCCAGCGCTACGCCGCGCTACGAACCCGGCGACCCCAGTTCGATTCCCGCTCACGGTCACCAACACCATGTGACGATTACCTGAACCGGGCCTTGGGCCTCCCCTAGGTCGACTCGGCCTCAAATGAGCACCTGACGCGAAGTGTAAACATCGCCGCTCGGGAGACAAAGGCGGCCGGGCGTGGTGTTGGCCACCCACCCCCTCGTGTGCCCTGCCGGCCTTCATAGGCGCTCGCGAACAGCACTTGCCCCCAACAGTCCGTTAAGGCTACACGGGGGTTCTTTGTCATTTATGGCGGTGGCAGCGGTGGCTGTGATGGTGGTGAGACATCTTTCAAATTCCCATCCCTTCAAGTAAATCACGACCGGCCCATCACGTAATAGAAGAGGCCAACGGTTTCGGGCAACGCTCCTTGCTACAGGCGCCGCGAGAACAAGAGGGCGTCTCTGTCGCGAGCTAATCTTGCTTTCCGCGTGTTTAGTATTCCAGCTCTTCGCTCGGTTTGGCCGCTAAGCAAATGGCTTTGTTTCCACACATAAACTGTTTACATTGCCCGTGGCGGGGATCTCTCCGAGCGGATTAGAGCGCAAATAAACGTTTAACGTCATGGCAGTGCTGGTCTTAGAGATCTAGCACGTGCTGTGTGTGTGTGTGGTGACTCAGGGTGAGGAGCGGTGGTGCAGCAGTTAGCGCCCTGCGCTACGAACCTGGCGATCCGGGCTCGTTTTGCCGCTCACGGCCAATACCCAGTGACGATTATTTGAACCGGTCCTGGGCCTCCCCTAGGTCGACTCAGCCTAAAACAAATTCCGACGTGTAAACATCGCCACTAGGGAGACAAAGGCGGCCGGGCGTGGTGTTGGCCACCCACCCCTTCGTGTGCCGTGCCGGCCTTCGTAAGTGCTCGCTACCAGCACTTGCCCCAACAGTCTGTTAAGGCTATACGGGGGATCTTTGTGTTTACTAAGAGAGGCACAATTCCCCCGTGTAGCCTCCACGGGCCAGTGGGGCAAGTGCCGTTATCAGCAGGCACCCACGAAGGCCGGTGCGGCGTGCCCGCACTGCTGTCCGTAACCCCGGGGTGCGTTCACGACACAGCGCCGGGTTCTCATTTCAGCCAGAGTCGACCTAGGGGAGGCCCCAGGGCCGGGTTGAGGTCATCGCCACCGAAGTGGGACACTGGGTTTTCCATTTGAGGCCGAGTTCGACCTCGGGGCAGGACCCACGATTGGCAGGGTTGGCTACGTTGGCTACGTACGGCGCGAAAGAAGTCCAACGCACTTACATACACAAGGTAATAAACACCGACGATTTGGGAACGGGACACGGGTTAGAGGGTTCATAGCGCAAGCGTGCTAACCACTGCGCCACCGCTCCCCCAAACCATCAACAGAATCACCACCACCACCACTGCCAGCAGGACTTCAACCGCAATAACCACGAGCACCGCCAAAACGACCACATCGAGCACCACCACTGAGCGCCACCCTCATGACAAGAAGCGCGGTGGAGTTTCCACAATGGGGAGAGAGGGGCGGGGGGAGATCTTGATTTATTGAGCGGATCAATGGGGATGATAGGGGGAGGAGGGGTGGCGGTGTTCGCCACACTGGGTAACAGCACCTCCACGCATCGATTAATGTGACCGCCCTCCCCGCTTCCTCCACCCCAATTAAGAGCCTTGGGGGTCAATTGCAGGACTGCGCCTTTACCCCCTGCAGCTGTTGAGTTGTAGGGTGGGTAGTGTGGGGGGGGGGCACGAATTTAGCGATTGGTGGGTTCCGTCTGTGGGCGGGGCGAGAGTCGTGACGTGCCCAAACTACAACGCCCTTGCTCCTCCCCTAACCGCTGATTGGCTGGCAGCTCAGGGAGAATTCCTCCTGAGAATTCCGCCTGGTGATGCTGGTTGTAATTACTGGCAAAACATAGGAATCGAATTGTAAACGCTGTGGGTGTATTCTCCAACACACCGGTGTTGCTGTACCAGTGACGAATTGGCACGTTTCGATTACTTGGCAAACCTGACGAATTGGCTGCGTCGGGTGGCGGCGGGTTTAACGACACATTTCTATTTACGCGATCTCGCCCAAAAACCTCTATTATTGGAGCTCAGGGTTTGTATGTGCATGTATGTCGAACTTCTTTTGCACCGTGCGTAGCCCAACCGCGATAATCGGAGGTGCGGGCACGTAACGCTGCCACGCCCATTGCCTCCTGCGCACTGAAGCCAATGAGATGCCGTGCCAGGCGGAGCGTTGCAGAGCACACGCGCGAGGGATGGCGGGGAGACTTGGGTCGTTAGGTCTTCATCCAGCAGTGGATTGATCAAGGCCGATGTTGATGATCATCACCATGACGACGATGATTGTACACGAATCAGGAGTAGTTGACAATCCTGTACATCACCCACCGGTGGAATACTCACGAGAAATTGGGCCATAGCCTGATCGGTACCTCTCAAGGTGGCAAACGCTAGCAAGGTTTTTTTCGAAGCGCTGCACCTCTAAATCACATCTCTGCGTGATAGCAAGGTGCCCACGGTAGCTTCACTGAAAGGCACCGAAGTACCCATTTAATGACCATTTTTTTCCCCGTGCTGCGCTTCGATTCCCGCGTGGAGTGTGTACGTGCTCGCCGCGCTATTCCTGCAGACTCTCCGGTGCCCCCCCCCCAACAGTTAAATAAACAACGCACGCGCGCGCTGTAACCGCGACTGAACCACACACCGCCAAGATTAGACACTCGGTTGGGATCACGCACGCTCACTCTCGCTCACAGCAGCAGCAGCAGCAGGAGCAGCGGCGGCATCACCCGCCCACCTTACTGAGAAAAAACTTGGCAGGACCCTCCTGCAAAAGAGTCTTGAGACTCGGCGAGGCTTTACTGGGTAAGCGAGAGAGCAACGACGACGACAACGACAACAACAACAACACCACCAACGCGACTCGACATCGGCACGAGGTCCCCGCCTTCATCGTCCGCCACCGAGCGCGAGGCCCGGGTCCAACGGAGGCGTGGAGGGACGGGGGCTCCCCGTGGCAAGTGGACACACGGGGGGGGAGGGGGGGTGGCGGTGGTGATGCCCGCCAGGCCCGTGGTGGAACGCGGCGCGCTCAACACGTCGCTACCGAACGACAGCGAACCGCTCGTTACATCAGAAGGGTGCAATGATTCCACTGCCGTGCCGCGGCCTGCCTCCCCCTCCCTCCCCCTGCCCCCCCCCCAGCCCCCCCCTGCCCCCCCTGCCCCCCCACATCACTCCCAACTCCCGCCGCGGCGACATCGCTCAACTACCTGAATTGAGGATCGCGATTTATTTAGGAGAATCGGTCGTGCGTGCCCGTTTCATCTTCTTCTTCTTCTACCTAACGTTGCGGCGAGCGGTGGCGCCTCGAGTGACGAGAAGCCGTGGCTGATGCTCAGCGTCGCGAGCGAACGACACCTACGGCGTAGTCAGAGCGTCTCCCACGGTTCCAGCGGGCACCGCACGGGCGAAGAGGGGGGGGGGGTGCTGCTGCGGCGGCTTCTATCCCTTAACGATGGTCCCGAGCCAGCGGTGTCAACTCCACATTCACACGGCGGGGGGCCCAGTCCATCCGAATTATCACAACCGCCACCGCTGCCGCCTTCCGGCAAAGTTCGTTACGCGGGCTGCCTGGCCCAGGGCTCCAACTCGCGACCTTCCGACCGCCGCTCGCGCCCTCCGTGCCCCCGACGCAGTCACACGCGCTCCTTGATGCGCTCCATGTAGTTCCGGAAGGCGTCGGGCTCCCGCAGTCCCATGTCGCGGCACACCCACTCCAGGTCCTCCGCGCTCGCGCCCACGGCCGGCGGGGACGGTGGCGGTCGCGGCTGCAGCGGCGACGACTCCGCCGCCGCCGCCGCGTCCGGCGCTCCGGCCGCGAACGTCGTGAACTTCACCCTCTTGCGCTTGGACGTCGGCGAGTTGAGCGAGGCTTCCGCGACGCCGTTACCGACGCCGCCGCCGCCGGCGGCGCCGCCGCCGCCGCCGCCCGGTCCGAGCAGCGCCGCGTCGGAGCGGCCGCCGCGGCCGGGGGGGCCGCCGCCGTCGGTGGGCGTCACGTCGGTGGGCGTGGGCGAGCGCGGCTGCGGCTGGTTGAGCCAAACCCAGTCGTGCGCGCGGTGAGGCTTGGCGCCGGAGGGGCAGCGCTCGTTGCCGTTGGCGGCCGCCCCCGCCGCCGCCGCGGCCGTCGCCGCGGCGCCGCCCGCCCCGTGCGCCTTCTTGCCACCGGCGCCGCGGTAGCGCAGGGCGAAGGTCATGCAGTTGACGAGGAAGACGGCGATGGCGAGGCAGAAGACGGCGAGCAGCGCATACATCCCGATCTCCAGGTCGGTGAGGGAGCGTGGCGACGGTGGCGGCGGCACCTCGGTGCGCACCGCGTGGTTCTCCACGTCGTCGTCGTCGTCGTCGTCCTCCAACGTCATCACGGCCTCCCGCTGCTCGTCCGGCTCCTCCTCGTCGTCCTCGTCGTCCTCGTCGTCCTCGTCGTCATCGCCACGCTCGTGGCTGCGAGGGGTCCCCGGGAGGCTCCTCTCCGAGTCGACGTCGTCGGGGATGCCGCGGAAGCGCTCGTCGCTGCTCGTCGTCACCGCCGCCGTAGTCGTCATCGTCGTCGTCGTCGCCGCGGTCGACCCCGCGGAGGAGGATGCGTCGGCGACCCCCCGGCTGTTGTCATCGCCCTCGTCCGAGGCCACGGGGAGGCCCGGTGGTGGAGACGATGTCGGAGGCGGCGGAGGCCGTCTGTCGCCGCCCGGCAAGGCGCCGTTGGCGTCGCTGCCGTAATCGGTGCTCGGCTCTCCGTAGTCGTGGCCGCCTGCGTCCCCGGCGGCGGCACCGAACTTGACGTTGACGGCGCAGGTGCTCGCCGCCACGACGCCGCTCTTGCGCTTCGACTTCTGGCAGACGTCCGGTACGCCGAGCTCGGCGCGGAGGAGGTCGCCGCGGCCCTCGCCCTCGGCCGTCACTGTCGGACCCACCCAGGGGTCGCCGTCGCCCTGGCCCCGGGGAGCCGGAGCCCGCACGGAGACCACGGACTCGTCGAGCGAGGTGACCGTCAGCGAGAACGAGCCCGGGTCGTAGATGTCGAGCGGGGCGGCCGTGTCGTCGCTGAACTCGAGCCACGCACTCAGCACCGCCTCCTGGAAAAGCGCACGCAACAAGGACAGAGGTCACGCGTGCAGCCCCGACAGACTGTTGGGGCAAGCGCCGTTAGCGAGCAGCGCCTAATTAAAGGCCGGCGTGGCACACGACGGTTGGTGGGTGGGCAAGCGAGCGTGGGTTTATGAGTGCGTGCTCGTGAGCATCCACTTCTTAGCGAACGCGTGTTTGAGCAAGCGAGTGAGCGAGCAGACCGGACCTGCTTGTGGGCGTGCAGGCGCCGTGCGGCGACGCTGGCGAGCACGGCAGGCAGGGTCCCCGGTGCGGCGCCCACGGTGAGCGAGAGGCCGCCCACGAGGAGGAGGCGCAGCGCCCCGAGCGCCACGCGCTCCTCCAGCACGGACAGCGGCGCCTCGCCGTGCACGCCCTCCGACAGCGGCGACACCACCTGCACGCACGCGTAGAGCGGCACGCGTGCGGAGACATGCGTGGAGCGACACACGCAGAGACGCGCACACGAGACACACGCAGGGAAATACATGTGCAGAGACACACGCGCACACGTAGAGACACACACACAACAACAACCGCCATTCGGTGACGTCACCACGACGCTTATGCCAGGCTATGTGCACGTTGAGGCCATGTGAAGTGTCGAACGCCCGCTGGCAGGAGGTCATGGGGCAGACCCAGGTGCCACGGGTCGACTGCCTGAGATGACTGGCTGATGCACCACCTGTGCCCCCTACTGTGCCAACCTGCTGTGCTTTAGCCACCCGGCGCTCTGCTCGTTGTTGTGAGCGTCGCTCCTCCCCCCTCCATTGTTGTTGGAGGGCGACTACCTCCAACTGCCCAGTAGCGTCCTTCACGAGCCTCCTCCACAGAGGCCGATCTTGATACCGCTGCTACCAGTCATCGGCAAGTCCACTCAGCTCCACATCCTCCTGCACCACATCACTCCATCTCTTCTCTAGCCCGTGTCGCGCCTGTTTAGCCCCCTCGATCCGGCAGAACAAAAGCTTTTTAGGCATGCGGGCTACATGACCCAGCCAATGCAGCCTTGCCTGCCGGAGGAGCTCACTTTAAAGGATATGTGAGCTCCTCACACAATCCAGCCTGGTTAAACCCAGGATGGATCGTATGCAGGCCAGCCTAAATGTTTATAACCGACAAGGATGTTCTATTAGGGGGGTCCACGTTTTGCAAGCGTCGAGAAAGGAGGGAATGATTGTGGTCGAGAAGACCCGAAGCTTCCTGCGGAGGGAAAGACCAGGTAGCTTCCACACAGCGTTATGCAAAAAATGAAAAGATAATGCCGCTCGACTGATTCAGAGCGAGACCTCTGCTGTCAAACCGGAGCTGGTCATAAGCACACTGCCCAGGTATGGGAAACTCTCCACTCTCTCCACAACTGCCCTATCACCAATTGGCAATTGTGGGGGTGGAGTGTCCGATGGTACAAAATACCCAGGCAGGTGCTTAGTTTTGGTGGGGCTGATGGTAAGTCCCCACCTCTTAGTGGCAATCTCAAGATTCAGCAGCAGCACCTCCAACTCCTCCTCTGAGTGAGCAGCAATTACCAGATCATCGGCATACGTAACATGGTTGAGCAATATAAAGCCATCCTTTGACCGCACCTGGGCATCGATCAGCCTCCCATTGTATCTGTACCAGATGGAAATTCCTCCGGTACAACTATTGAAGGCTTCATTAACTACGTGGTCGAAATAGATGTTAAATAATGTGGGAGCAGGAAGACATCCCTGTCACACAACACAGTTCTAAACCTCGCCCATTTCCCCTCAACATCAGGAGGAGTGGGGGACGATGCCAACCCCAGCCGCAAGCGATGATGAAATTCTCGCTTGCAACTTTCATCAGCTAGCTGAGACCATGCCACTATAGGTTTGAATGAGGTCCTGGGTGTACACCCACCACCGGAGTGGAAAAATGGCAGGCGCATCTTACAGATGACAAGTCGATGGTCAGTGGGCGGATCAGCTCCACGGTAGGTCCTGGTGTCAAGAACATGGGCCCGCATCCGCTGTTCCGTCACTATGTAGTCCAGCAGATGTTCTTGCTTGGACCCGGCATGCATCCATGATGTTGTGTGGATGCGCCGATGCCGGAACAGCGCGTTGGTGATTACAAGCCTCCTACCGTTGAATATTGAGCTGATCTGGCTCATCTCTTCCAATCACTCCAGACCAGGTGCTAGCATCATGACAAACTCGGGCATTTAAGTCACCCAACAAGATGACTCTATCCCGAGAGGCCACTTTAGCCAGCACCTGTGACAGGAGGTCATAGAAGGCTTCTGACTCATCGGCCTTGCCTGCATCCCTCCACGGATGTTCGTCTTCGATGGGGGCATAAGTAACTACGACCACCACTCCTCACCTCTGGTTGATGGGAAGGCGAGCCCAAAGTAGCCTGGGGCTTACAGCTTCCCACACCTCACCGCCATGCTCCCTTCATTATTTTGTTCAGAAGAAGAGCCACTCCCTGTTGTTTGGCAGTCTCCTGCCCTGAGTAGAGGACTGTCCACCCCTCATGATGGCAGGAGCCAGATCTGGTCCACCGGACCTCCTGAATGCCACAGAGATCCAGGCGGTACCAGTCCAGCTCCCGAAAGAGGAGTGGCAGCCCCTCTCCTCCGGAGTGAGCATTCGAACATTCCACGTGGCCATCCGAAGTGGCTTTTTGTTCTTTCTGGAGGAGCCCCGAGGGTAAGGATTTGGCCAGGAGACGGCATAGACACCTGTCCCCCCGGAGCCTCCGGAACAAGCTTAATAAGTGTTTTGCATCGTAATTTAGTGGTACATATTCTTGGTTCTTTCGGTAAAGTCACGTGACTTTACCGAAAGAACCAAGAATATGAATCCCTGCAGTCACGAAAGCTTTAAATAAAATTTTTATTTAGTGGTAGTTAATTGAAGGTGGAGGGGTTACCAGCCACTCGCACCCATCCAGAGCCCCCATTTGGCTGCTGTGGTGGTTCCAAACGCCATGAAGGGAAAGGCCAAAAATCTACATTGGCCCTCCCCTCATGACACTACCCACCACAGTGTTGCCGTCCGACACCACGAGGAGGTAGGGGATTGTTTTTGCCGGATGACACACACACACATGCAGACACACACACACACGTAGAGACACACACACACTCAGAGACACACACGCACACGTAGAGACATACACACACGCACACGTAGAGACACACACACACGCAGAGACACACACACACACGTAGAGACACACATACGCACACCTAGAGACACACACACACAGACGTAGAGACACACACACATAGAGACACACGCACACATGTAGAGACACACACATGCACACCTAGAGACACACACACACGTAGAGACACACACACACACACGTAGAGACACACACATGCACACCTAGAGACACACACACACGAAGAGACACACACACACGTAGAGACACACACACGCACAACTAGAGACACACACACACAGACGTAGAGACACACATACAAAGAGACACACGCACACACGTAGACACACATGCACAACTAGAGACACACACACACACGAAGAGACACACACACACACGTAGAGACACACACACGCACAACTAGAGACACACACACACACAGACGTAGAGACACACACACATAGAGACACACGCACACACCTAGAGACACACACACACGTAGAGACACACGCACACGAATAGACACACACACACACGTAGAGACACACGCACACGAAGAGACACACACACACGTAGAGACACACACATGCACACGAAAAGACACACACACACACGTAGAGACACACGCACACGAAGAGACACACACACACGTAGAGACACACGCACACGAAGAGACACACACAAGTCGAGACACACACACACACGCACACGTAGAGACACACACACACGCAGAGACACACACACACACACGTAGAGACACACACATACACACGTAGAGACACACACACATAGAGACACACGCACACACGTAGAGACACACACATGCACACCTAGAGACACACACACACGTAGAGACACACGCACACGAAGAGACACACACACACACGTAGAGACACACGCACACGAAGAGACACACACACGTAGAGACACACACATGCACACGAAAAGACACACACACACACGTAGAGACACACGCACACGAAGAGACACACACACACACGTAGAGACACACGCACACGAAGAGACACACACACACGTAGGGCCACACGCACACGAAGAGACACACACACACGTAGAGACACACAGACGTAGAGACACATGTAGAGACACACACACACGTAGAGACACACGCACACACACGTAGAGACGCATGTAGAGACACACACACACGTAGAGACACACGCACACACACGTAGGGCCACGCGCGTGCCCACGCGTGGCGATGTTTCCGAAGAGGCTGCGGGCGGACGGGCGCGTCACCTGCACGGCGGTGACTCCGGCCTCCCGGGCGATCACCACGAGGCCCGGCTGCCGCACCTCGGCCACGGCCGGGTTGGCAACTCGCACCAGGCCGGCGCGCGCCACCACCTCGCTCACGTCCAGCAGCCAGTCAGGCCCCAGCATGGGCGTGCGCAGGCCGGAGCCCTCGGAGGCCTCGGCCTCGAAGCGGGCCAGCACGCGCACCGTGGCGCGCTGGGAGAGCAGCGCGCAGCCACGGCCACGTCGCTCCTCCAGCTCATCGGTGGCGTCGGCCCCACCTGCGGCCCCACCTGTGGCCCCACCTGCGGCCCCACCTGCGGCGCCACCTGCGGCCGCCGCCGCTTCTTCGTCATCGTCGTTGCGGTTATCTTCGCCCCGGCTCGCCCGTGAGGATCTGGGGGGTGGAGAGCGCCGGTCTCGACTCGATAAGTCTGTGAGTCTCTGTTGTGAGTCTGTGAGTCTCTGTTGTGAGTCTGTGAGTCTCTGTTGTGAGTCTGTGAGTCTCTGTTGTGAGTCTGTGAGTCTCTGTTGTGAGTCTGTGAGTCTCTGTTGTGAGTCTGTGAGTATCTGTTGTGAGTCTG